TACCATCCTGTTTCCTTTTGCTCCCATTATTAATTCCGACAGAGGAATTTAACAAAGGCCCAAGCCAATAAGTACATGCCATTCCCTTGGCTACAGTGCTTGATTCACAGTGAGCAATATCCATATTCAGCTTAGGATGAAGTGAAGTTTTGTCTGATGGCTAGAGAAACACACATCCTCCTCCATAAGTGAATGAAGAAGCATGTGGCTCCAGGAGTCAAATCTCCCAAACTGTATATTATTTAAACAAAAATTTTAAAATTCATTCCAGATCTAAAGAGTCATACTCATGTATTTAACAAACACACATGGCTCTACCATTTATTGAGTGACGCTGCACACGTTCCTTAAACCTTCTAAGCCAAGTACCTTGCCTATAAAATTCGACTTACATTCTTTCCTTTGTAGGATTATTATTACTATTGTCGCAAAGAAATCACTGTGTTAGGGGCACCTGGCTGGCTCAGACAGAAAAGCATGTGACTCCTAATCTTGGGGTTGTGAGTTTGAGCCCTATGCTGAGTGTAGAGATGACTTAAAGAGGCCGTGGGGGAGGAGAGGAGGGAGGAGAGGAGGGAGGAGAGGAGGGAGGAGAGGAAATCAATGTGTGAGATGGTGTGGAACTGAAATAGATAAATAACTTATGATTCCCAGTCTTTAGAGACACAGACAATTTAGTGGCGGTGGTGACACTGGATTGTTGTTCTTGCCCATGTGACTTCAGAATCAGGGCCTGACTCTTCTGGAGGCTCTAGGAACAACATAACTAACAGCTTTTCTACTAAAAAATACATACAGTGGGGGCGGGAGGAGGACAGATGGTAGGTGTACCTGTAAGCAGAAGGGGTCATGATCCAAGGAAGAGGATAAAACATGTGGGGGAGCGGAGTAGCCAATTAGAACACTACTGTCATGGGGTGGAGGGAGAGTTTTCAATTCCAGCAGCTACACTAATAGAGATCATTTTCTAGATCTAGAGACATGGAGATAGCCACATGGAAATTAACTGACAAAAAAAACCTATTCTCTTGACTGATAGGAGATCCTCCCATGAACTAGGGACAGAAAAACATGCTGAATTAAGATATTTTTGTTTCATTTCCCTTATTCTTTCTTATTTTAATTCATGTTAACCAATAATACATTTTCTAAAATTTTGCTAGAGCCCTCCTCACTTCTACAGGAGACGACCCTGCATGCCAAAGTAGAACATAAAGGATTGAATAAGACTATGCAATGGGGGGAAAATAAAATTTCACTGAAAGCAAAAGAAAATGACATTTTGTGGAAGGGTTGGTAGAGAAAATTTTCTCAGTGTTTTATACATTCAACATTAGATATCCACAAACATCGATAAACACAAAGCTCTAAATCACAAGTTACTTACAAGTGCTGACAAGTGATGTCAAGGTTTGTGGTAAGATACTTCTCCAAAGGACATGTTAAGAAACTAACTATGTTAATTACAGTTTCAAGTTTTCTCACGTCTGAAGCTATCAAGTGGAAAAATAAGGCCCTCAAAAAGCAGTGAATGAAAACATAATCTTTCATTCACATAGAGGAGTGTTAAGAGTCCATTACCAATGTAAAAACACAACACAAAACAATAAAGAAAAATCCATTTAGTCCAATTAATGAGGACCAGCCTTAAAGCCTTAGGAGCAGTGACCCTGCTCTTTCTAATTCCCTGCCAGTGGTTCATTTATATTGAGGAAGGCTTAAAAAACAAGTCAATCACATTTTTCAGTCTAGTCTCATTCAGAGTTCACTACAGATTGAGACTTCTATTGTCGCACAACTCAGATAAAAGAACCAATAATGAGCGGCGCCTGGGGGGCTCGGTCGTTAAGCGTCTGCCTTCGGCTCAGGTCCTGGTCCCAGGGTCCTGGGATCGAGCCCCGCATCGGGCTCCCTGCTCCGAGGGAAGCCTGCTTCTCCCTCTCCCCTCCCCCTGCTTATGTTCCCTCTCTCACAGTGTCTGTCTCTATCAAATAAATAAAATCTTT